CAAACAATAAACCAGAAGTTTCAATAACCCTGTCTGAAAAGTTCAAACGGCTTTCCCAAAGGCCAGGCTGACTCAACCTACCAATTTTGGCTGTGGGGAGTGCAGGTGTGCATCTGCCCCGAAGCCCTCATCAGCGCTGAAAGGTGATATTTGCAGGTATTAGTGAGCCGAGCAACAGGTACTTTGTCAAGTCCACTCATTGTTTCATTCTCTGGTTAAAGGGAGGTTCAGTCCCTTCGCAGAGTGCCAGGAAGCTTGTCTACCTCTATTCCTTCCAGGTAATTAAGATGAAAGCTGTGACATCTAAAACAAAGCAGCAGATTCAGGGGAATGACATGTTCTCCTGCAGGAAAAACAAATCTAATTCTCCAGGTGAAACATCATCCTACAAAAAATCATTTTAGCAGTTGCATCCTTGTCTACATCTGTGTGTGTATGAAGCTTAGCACTGACAATATCCTGTATCAAAATCAAAACAAATTTGGATATTGGACAAACATCGTGGGCGATAATTCGGGTCACAGAGTACACACCAAGTATGAATTCCTGGCATGTACGCCACACAGATTTACAGTCTCATGGCCGCGAGTGCATGATATACACACTTGTCCAATCGGTGATCTGTCACAGTGAGATGTGTTTACGTAACCGTGAGGATGCCTACATGTTTCACAGGGACACACAACATCACGCGCAGTATGGCGCAACACAGAGATTATGACTGTTTAAATTGTGTCTGGCTGTACATGAATTCTCTGACATAATATGGTGAAGATATACCCGGCCAAAGGTGCATTCAGAACTTCTGCCAGGTTGACTTTTGAGAGCTCTCCTGTAGAGCCACTCTGGGTTTTTCCCTCTTGGATCTGTATGTACTGCACCTTTCAGTATCAGTCTGCTTGTATCACTGATGTAATGTTTCAGCCTCCCAGCATTTGCGTGCAAGTGTTCAAGTGACAACAGCTGCCGGCCCTCACCAAAACTCAAAACTCCTAACATTTTAATGGGATATTAAGCCCCCCCGTTCAGTAGTCACCAAAGCTGTGAGTGGTCTTAACCGTTGACTCCTAAGGATTTTGGTATTTTAACAAACCTCAAAGTCTTGTCGTGCATAGTTTAAAGATGTTTGGAATTAATCTCACGTCATACTGCAAGTCACCACAGAAATAAATAGGAACGCTTGTGGTTTCATGGCAATTAACGAGAGCTGCTATAAATGTCAGTTGTGATTTATTACTACAATTTTCAGTTTTTGGCTGTTAACACTTTCAAACCAAGTCAAACATTTGTTTTTTTTTTGTATTATTCTTTACATTTACTACAAATCACATACTTTACCTTCCATTCAGACATTTTCCAAAGCAACCATTTTATATTTTAAGTTTTTTGATTCACATTTCCTGCCTGAGGGCTGCCTTTGGTTTCCATTTCAGTGAAGTATGCACACACCAAACTTGAGGAAACTCGACACTCTCTTAAGATACAGTATATTAACCATCCACAGACATGATGTACTGTATTCTTATCTTGTTAGAGTTCCATTGGAAAAAGAAGAAGATTGAAAATGAATAGACAATGCTGGGTTTCTTGTAAATGTAGTGAAACAGAATAAAAGGCTCTTAACTTTTCCATCTGTATTAGTCTCTAGTCTTTTTAATTTTCACGCCGACTTATGTTCCAACACAAGCTCTGAACTTGAAGTCGTGTGTGAGTCGTGTTTCCTTTTCCTAAAGTTGAAATTGATTCCCCTTGCATAATGGTATATTTACAGCTGCCTTGGCAGGACACACAGACACAGCTCTTTATTTAGTTGGCATGAAATCAGAAAGGAGACATTCTGCTTTTTGGACTGAACCACTGCTTCCCCCCGACTTTCCTCATGACAACTCATAAAAACTTTATTCACTCAACAGCAAGGTATCATATTTGCCGTTCAGCAACAAAGAATACAGAGAATTTAGAGTTGATGTGGCCATTATTCTCCATTTTTTCGGTGCCGTGATTACCTTCCTCCCTATGGGCGCCTGAAGACGGACAGTAGAGCCAAACAACCCTTGTCCCCTTTGACCTCCCCACTCCTATTCACTTTGTTACCCATTCAGCATCAGATGGTAATGGATAGCCATTGGACTCTGTGTTCTCCACCAGACAATGTCTTTGGGGAGGCTAATGATGTGGTGTCTGCCCTCAGATTATGCCGATTGACAGGCAAGGACCACCGTAACACCAGGAAGAGAATTAGCCATCGATACCTTACTGGGAGTCAGGTGGAACAGGACACTCATTAGAGATACAAGGGAAGATACAGCAGAGAGAGAGAGAGAGAGGAGCTCTACACAAGGAGTCTGTCAGCATGACTAATGTGTTTAAAGTTGTAATGAGAGTTTAAGGTATTTGGATATGAAAGAGTAAGATTTGGTGTCTATTTGATTACTTTTTTAGGTGTCAAAACCCAAAGATATTACATTTTCAATGATTCCAAGGCAACAACAAGTTTAAGAAGAAATTTAAGAAGTAGGAACAAGAGAATGTTTGTGTTTTTGCTGAAATTATTTTTTTATTGTGAAAATATTTACCAAACTAACATCCTGTCGATCAACCAGTCGATTTAACTAGCTAATGACTGCATCTCACGTTTTCATTTCATTCTCAACCATCAGGCACTTTATTGTAGTGCTGCATGTAACAATTATTGCTCATTGTTGACGAAGCTGTTTAGTTCATTAAATGTTGTTTTTTTAAATGCCGTGCCCAATTTTGAAATCTCAACGTCACAACAAATTGTTTGTTTTATTCAAACAAGAGTCCACTATTCAGCGGACAGTCATTGCTTTAACTGTCTATGTCAGTTTACCTTACTTAATTAAAGTCTGCATTAATTGTTTGATAGTTTAATCAAATAAATTAACTTGTTTATTCTAAATGTTTGAATAAAATACCAAAACAATGTGATACTAGTAATAATAGTAGTAATAATGTGGTCTATTCGCTCTTACTACCATATGCAAAAAAATCAATATAATGACATTATTATGCTCTAAACATGTTTGCAGTTGCAGATGTTAACAAAGCATTGCAGTGTGAATGGGGCATCCCATGTTTGCTTATGGGGTCATGCCCTGTGTCAAACCAGTGGCCTTTTTAAACTCAAGCCTTCAGAGAGATCTGTCTATTGTTCCCATTACAGTTCTCAAGAGAGGTATGTGAGTGTGTGTGTGTGTGTGTGTGTGTGTGGGTGTGTGTGTGTGTGTGTGTGTGTGTGGACTCCCCAACCCCCTCTTCAAACCTCACCTCCCTCACCTCCCTCCCCTCCTTCCCTTTCTCTTTCACACCCTCTCAGCTGTGCTCACTCACTCACTCATTCTGAGCCAGGCCAAAAAAAACTGGCCGAGCTGCTCCTCCGTCAGGAACTCCCGTCCTCAAGTTAACCCAGGCGGCCGGGACTTTGCAACCCACTCGGGGAGCCTCTTTTCTGGATTCCCAGAGATAGGAGTGTGGAGGAGACATGGAGATGGTTCATCAGGCGATTCATAGTTTACCACAGTATGGATTATGTGATTTACTATCCTCACATCAAGGTAACAACAAGTGTGTTCTTTGACTGTTTTGAGCCTTCTATCTCTCCACTGCAATACAATGGATGCATTTTTTCGAAACACATCTTAACTACAGACTTCTTTGTTGAAACAGTTGCACTTTGGTGAGGGATTAGATCATCTGGAGGTGATGTCACTCATGAATGAACCTGACTCTGTGTATGAGAGGCGCCTTCATTTGTAAACCAAAGATGAAAAAGGAAATAAGAGTAGTTTTTGTTTCCACTTCAAATCCTCGTCATCATTCCGCATGACCGAACACACATTTGTACATTGTCGCTCCGTGAGTGACTTCTAGTTCTGTTGGAGGTATTTATGATGTGTGAACTTCTGAGAAGACTATCATTAGACACAATATTGAATCTCAACTTGCCCCTGCTTGCATGCAAACAAGAAGACTCTCGCAGACAAAAGAGAGCAGACAGTGATGAAGTCATGTAAACTCCCTCTGCACACACACACCCATACAAACAAACACTCACACACACACACACACACACACAAAGGGAAAATTAGGACATATTTTTGTCATTTAAAGCTAAACAAGGTAGTTACTGTGTCTGCATTGTTTTCTGGGCCAGCAGCAGCTGCTTCCTCCACTTGGCAAGCAGCACAATCAAAGTCTGGAAGAACATTTTCACAACAAGTCTCCCATAAAATGTATTCTGCCTTTGAGGATACTGAATGTCTTTTAGGTAATTTATAATCCTTTAACACCCACTCTCTTTGGGGCAATGCCTGCCAAAATTAAAACAAATTGACCATTTTTTATTGTTAGACTCTTGCAATGAGGTGAACATAAGGTTTATCACATTGTTGGACTGCTAGACTGCTTTCAAGGTAGAGAGACACCATATTTTTTTATGGGTTCGGTTGTATACTCTGCCCTGTATTGTACTGCACCTAGCTCATTTTAACTACATGGTGGTCTTTTTGAAAATTACCACATTAAAGGAATAGTTTGACATTTTGCAAAATGGGCTTATTCACTTTCTGGCCGGAACTAAGACGAGAGGATTGATCATTTTCATATTTGTTCGTTAAATATGAAACTACGGAACAGGAGACAGTTAGCTTAGCATATAGAGTGGACTGAGGCAGGGAGAAACAGCTACCTGCTCCGATATCTTGTGTATGTTAAATATGTACAAAAACAGAAGCGTTGAGTCAATAACTTGACATTTTAAGGGGGGTTATGTGCCAGCCAATTGTCTTTGTACTAAGCTAAGCTCTTGGGTGTAGTTTCATTATTTAAGTGGCACATTCGAGAGTGGTATCAATGTTTTGGTCTAACTCAAGCCGAGAAAGAGCATACTTATACTTATACCTATATGAGGACAGTAGTCTAATCAATACGCACAGTTTGCATGTTCATATTTATGTAACATTTTATAGTGCATACTTATATTCTAGCAGTTGGTGAAAGATCTGGTGCTATAGCATCCTGTGGCAGTGGATGTAAAAAGATCAAAACTGTTATCTGCACAAAATGAAAGCATTTATTCTGTGATTCCTACCATCCAATGCAACACTGCATGTTGTTACAGGACTTCCTTACAGAGGTATACCGGTCAGAGTGAAGTGTATCGGGGCTCCAGGTATTTGTAGGCAATTACAGCACAGTGGGATCCTTTGTTGTCTCCCCCCTGTTTCTGAGCCATTAGTTAAAGACTAGTCTGCTGCTGAGTTCGGCCACTTATTAAGGCTGGTGGTCAAAACTGGAATGAACAGTTGTTAGCTCTTTGAACCCAACTCAGATAGTCATTATGACAGGGCAGCTATAAATCATGGAAAAGTTAGAGGTAATTTCATATGTTGCGAGGTTGTCAGTGATATGTTAAGGTTTTGTTTGAGGACATACGCTTCAAAGGTTCCATTTTAGCCATATATTTCCTTTGTTTGATGCTGTATACAGTTTTGAGGTTGACTGTATTAGCCATCTGTCTACGATTATGCTGTGGCATGATCCAGTTGGAGTAGTTTCCTTTATGTAAATAGCAGAAGTTAAGTAAACTAAGTCGTCACGTTGGTAGGAGAGGGTTGTGAATAGAGTTACAGTTGAAATGTGAAAGGGTGAGCCATTTTCTCTTTTCCTGAACTTTTTTCATGAGTGAGTCTCAAGGTGAATAAAGAATCCTGCCTTAATACAAGCTGTCCTCAGTCCTCTGTAACGCTGACAATTGTTCACCGCTGAGTTTGTAAAAGTTTGGAGCGCTGTGCTGAAGCGTGGGGAATCAGGGGAATTGTGACAGCTGCCAAGGTTGTCTCTTCAGGTACATTTGTGCTTTAAGTGAAGATCCTTGACTGTCTCTGGCAGCAAAACCCCTGCTGGGATTGGTCTCATTTAAGAAGTAAGGATTGAGTGTTTTTCTAAAAACACAGTGCCAGTCAGAGAATTATGTGCTGGAGAATAATACCTAAAGGCAGCATCACCACAGCCGGGAAAGAATCTGTCAAAGGGGAGCCTCCGGTTATTTTATTCGGTGGACAGATGTGGAGAATCTACCTAAAGGCGACAAGATGATATTTGAGCTAAATGCTTTTGTCTTTCTGCAGCTGATGCTTAAATGACCAAAATCCTGGCTGTAAAAAATGCAGACCAGGGATTGAAAAGATAATATTTGTTCGTCACAGGAAAGTGGTTTCGTTTTTCTGTGATTATCTGTTCATCTGATTTTACCCTGCAGATAAATCATTGATTGACCTATACATCAGGAGACAATGCTGCAAGAGTTATCTGACTTTATACTTTAGTTTGCATTTTCTGTAAACTCCTTTGGTGGATAAATTAAGCTCTTGGGCACAAAACACAAGGCAAAAACACACCTCTCTTCCCTTAACTATCTGGACATACACGGGAAGACAGACAGTATAATGTTGTTGTCAGTTGTATTGTCATCTGCTTCAAACAGTCTAAGAATGGATTTCCATCCTCCCGATATTTGTTTGTTTCTGTGATGTGCAAATGTGTTAAGATGAATATTTATACCAATTATATCGGGTACAGAGCTCTAGATTTGTACATTGGCAGAAAAATACAAATATGTTCATTCATGAAGAGATCTCAGGAACAGCTCTCTCACAGGTTTAGAAGGTCTCGTCTAGGAAGTTGTCCATGTGCTAAGTGAGTTTGACATATCTCCCCGTCTTTATAAACAATGTGGACAATTCAGCTACTGTGTAAGAATGTTGAGCATCAACAGGAAATGGCAGGGGGAACAGGAGTGTGTTGTAGTAGCCATGGTATGCTGTATAATCCTGTTGCACGCTTGTTTAATAGCTTCACAGCCGTTGTGTCCAAAAGGAAATGCTGCTGCCTTTCAATGCAAGTAATGGAAACAGAACGGGCTGATTGGTTTAAAATGTGGACAAAAGCACTCACAGGGGCACCGGGGGAATCACAATTGCTTTGCATGACAATCGATGCAAATGTGAAATTTCTGTGTTTGAAGCTGGCCAATGTGACTAATTGGTGTCACTGTGGGATCCATCTGGCAGATCCACTTCACTGATTTCCACTTTACACCATTTGACATTTTGACCAAAAGTTGCACGCTCATACTGTCTTGTTACAAGATAGTGGTAGTAGTTGTTTTATGACTTCATAATGAAATACAGGTTGATTGTTTTTATGAGCAGGTTTTGACAAACAGTGGTCATTGCACAAAGCACATGTTTTACAAGAAAGTGCATTTTTCACACGCACAGCCTAATACATTACTGCTAAAATAGCCTGTGCACCTCCTGTGACATGGTAACCTGAGATTGTAGCTAAATAAACAGAAGGCTTCCTTAATTTATATGAACCCTGCATAATTGTCTCTCAAGAACCACAAAATGCCCGCATTATGTCATTGGCATTATTATTTTTCATATTTGAGTATTGCCTCTTAGCTATTAAAGTATGCATACACTTTCTGAAAGTTGGCAGTAAATATCAAAAATCTAAATATTTCCTATTGCACTACAGGAAAATAAATGTTCTGAACAGTTAATTGGACATGTTTTGATTTGTTTAATTATACTTGATTGCCGTTCTTCACAAATCCACAAATTACTGAAAATACATCAATCAGCTATACGGCGTGACATTTAACATTATTACCATGAACATGGCCACTGCAGTTTATTTCCAATATATATACTAATGTCCTGGTGCTGTACATTCTCACTAGAGCTGCAAATGTGTATTAATCCACAGCTGAAAATAGAAATGCACAATGTACTCCTGTTTGAGTAACATGTACTAAAAACAACAGTGCCCCACTTATTAAGTCAATTATTTCTCCTTTTCAAACTAAGCCATTCTCAAAGATGCCAACATTTTCAGTAGGAACACAGGCTTTTGGACGGATTTGCTTCGGACCCTTAAAAAAGCTTGGCACGGCCCTGGTAGTCTCTCTCACTCTCTCACACACACACACACACACACAGTTTACACACCAACACATCGATATTCTCTTCCTCTCTCAGTCTCTGAATGAAATCCTCTACTACTTTATCAGCCGATGAGTTTGTTACGCGAAGGACTTCAGGTTGTTAATCTAAACGTGACGCGCCGTCTTTTGGAGCGACGGAGCTTTCCCACCGGCTGAAGAAACTCACGTGTGAGAATGGAAGTGAGCTGCACGTTTGCCGGTTGATTGGTGCCTCGACGAAAATTGGCTTCGGTGGAAATCTGTTGCGCGTCGCAGGTTGAGGAAGCGAGAGATGAAATGACGTTATAGATGTGATCCCCTGCGCGTGAGAGGTGAGATGAAGCTGCCTCTTTATGTTTTAGACCCGAATGTTCAAATAGAAAACATTTAAATAGCTTAAACACCAATGTTGTGCTGCAACATTAAAGACTGGGACGTGATTGACGGAGTTAATCAATTGCGTCTCCTCCATGTGAGGTGTAATCAATGGGACTGTGGAGACAATAGCGCGGTAGTGGCTAATCACTGGATCAGGAGCAGATAGCCTGCTATTAATAGGAAGGACTTGAGGTCAGATCACGGTTATTGGTCAAAACTTCAAAATGTTGTCTCTAATGTGAGAGTTGGTCTGTACAAGCTTTAAAGGAGGTATCCTCACTGTTACTGCAGGCACAGTATGAATGGACTGAGTAATGGCTGGGTGTTATGCATGTACTGGCTGCAATGATATTTGGGCACCTTACAAGCAACATTCATCTGCTTTATTACAACAGTGTGTAATATGTGACTTTCAAACCTGATTTTGACATGAACAGAAAATGTCACAGCTGCTCTGTTATAAAAACAAAACAAAAATCACAGATTTCATAATGGATCCTTTTGTCTTGATTCGTTTTAAAAGTGCAGAAATTTGTAATGTTACTGGTTTATTTACGGCTGCAACTAATGAATATTTTCTATCAATCTGCTGGAAATGTTCTCAATGTGTCAATAACAAATGCTGCATTTCACTTTAAGTGGGACAAGGGAACATTTGACATATTTGTTGGTCAGCTGTTAAATTCATTGTCTAATCATGTCAGCTTAGTTGGAACATTAAATCATTGGAACAGTTTGGAAATGCAAATAATTTGCAGTAAAAGAAATGTTTAGGATAATCAATACATTGGCATTTGTCGTCATCCTCATAAGCCAAACAAAGTTGTTTCCTTAAACAGTGGCTTCTTTCACACACAACTCACTAAATAGATACGTGCTAATATGCCCACGAGGTGAGGTATCTTCCTCATCCTTGTCACACTGTCTGTGTTTATAAAGAGGATAAACATTGTGAACATGTAGAATGGCACACAGGCATCTGCAGCCCTCGTAATGAGATCTCATTAAGACTGACAGAGAGCATCAATATCGCTGTCAAAGTGTGGCTCTAAATTTAGCTGTACGGGTTATCCAGATTAAAACGCTGACAATTCAACGTGAGTCTGGATTTTTTTTTTTTTTGCTGAAGCTGGTTCACATCCAGAACTGTTGTCGGAGGAACAAGTCAAATCCCATTGTCATGATTTGAACTTCGCTTTAAAAACTTGCATGGAACTAATGGATCTTTTGGTTTGCATCAGAAAACAGCTGAAGTATCAATTTTTGCTTCATCTACAGGATATTGTAACCATCTATGTTTCTGTCTCTTTTACTTGAACAGGGGGAGACAGAGAGCGGATGACAGCCAACCATGAGACCTACCTTCTTATGGCCAGCACCCAGAATGACATGGAGGATTGGGTGAAGACGATCCGCAGGGTCATCTGGGCGCCTTTTGGTGGAGGTCAGTATGCACACACAGCCCCGTTTTTACGTGCTGACTAACTTGTAATGAGATTTGCATCTGCTGTTTGTTTTTCATTTGGGTGACTCAAGTGTATGTATTCAATCACCTCTGTGTCTGCTAGGTTCTTTTGAGCAAGGCCATCAAACTGCTGGCTGTGTGGTCTGATCCCGCTGACAAAATACATTACATTGTAGAGAATGTGTGTAACTAAGGGACTGAAAGTGCAAAACTTCAGTGGCCTTGTGCACAATGATAATGGTGCAACCTAAATCTATTTGTGGGTGAGTGATAGAGGCGGGACTTAGCAGTAAGTTCCAGGGCAATACCGCATTTATTTTACATATTACAGGGTTTTATCTAAAACAAGCATGTTTCCAGAGTCCGTTGGCAGGTAAAGCAGCAGGTTGCCTCCTCTTTTCCTTTCAGTCCATATGTTGGGTGTCCTGCCACATGCCGGTTGCATCACTACAATACTTGTCTTCACCATGACGCAATAACACGCGAGGAATGTCTGTGAAGCTGGAATTTACACTCTCGTGTCATCATCCTGCCTGTTTTGTTTTCTCTTCCCATCCATCCCGTTCATGCTAATGCACAGAGGACATTAATGTGTCCAAATCAATTACATGCATCAAATATAACAGAAAAACAATGTTGATGTAGCTACCATCAAGTGCGCTGTGACTCATAGCTGAAGTGCACGATGTTGTAATTGTTCCTGGGATCAGTGCGGTGATTACCGAGTGCCCCGCTGCACCGCTAAGGCTTGTTATTGACTTAACTGGCTGACATTGTCCCACATTGTGTTCGAGCGGGGGGGGGGGGGGGGGGACATGTGCGGCATTTGAGACCGGACGGGCCGTGCAGGCAGCTCTCTGTGACACAGTGAATGGATGAGGCTGAGCTGGCCCCTCTGTTTTCAGTGCGGGGAGTTTGATGTCGATTGCAGTTGACTGCTCTTCAAAAGGACGAGCCATTTGTCAAAGATGCCACTCAACTTGGTGGCTCCAAGTTGGAGCGGAGCCGGACTTTCTCACACACACACACACACACACACACACATACACAGAGCGCACACATATTCCAGGCTTTCACAATTTTGCAGTAGCAGCAGAGACTAACTGAGCCCTGATTGGCTGGTCAGCACCCCTGAAGTGTGATTACAAATTTGTGTTCAGAGAGTGACAGACAGGGAAGGGAGCTCCCACGAAACGAAGCCTGTGTTGGAGCTCGGAGCCCTCAAACGTTTGCTGTCATGTTGTGCTGAACACTTGCTATGACGTTGAATTAATTACTGGCCGGCTTGAACAAGCAGTTGGACAAGGGAGAGTTTGAAGTCATGTGCAGTTGTGGCCTCTCCATCTGGATCTTTGGAGATTTATTTGATGGTAATTACCAGTTGTTTATTTGTAAAGAGTATAACTTTAACTGTTGTTGCTGTTAGCTGCTAGAGCTATTTTGAAACTGTTACGTATACTGTGTATACGTAACTTTTTTATTTCCAGCCTTGTTCTCTAGAGCTTATATGGGAGATTTTTTATTTGTTGGTTTGGACTAAAATTGTCACCCCAACCACCTCCAATCACCCTGTGTGTCATGTCTGTTTAGTCTGTTTTTTTGACCTTCGACAGCCACCGCTTTCTACTTAATGCACAGTTCATATTTAGTTTACTGTAACACCACAGTGAAATGTACTTCACAGTAAAATGGGATGTTTTCCTGCCTTCTAGTTGTGGATCAGAGTTCTCATTCAGTATATGACTCAGATTTGTTTGGGTCAGTGTGTAATCTGCACACAGTTGCACTGTATATCACCAAGAATATGTAGCATTCAGCAAAGTAAGGAAGACGTTAATATCAGTATTATATTTGAGGAACATTCACTCACTACACCACAGAAGAAGAAGGTTCAAAGACAGATAGGAAGCTCCAGAAAGGGTGAAAATCAGTGTGTTGTGTTTGGACCTCCCTCCCCCTGTGTGTGTGTGTGTGTGTGTGTGTGTGTGTGTGTGTGTGTGTGTGT